GATCTTGGCATGTGCCACTCGTTTGGCGGTAAGGAATACATGTCGATCAGTTGATTGCTGCTGACACAAATTAGTTGCATTGTCAAATTTCATGCTGTATTTCTACGTTCAAATCCCCTCCAAGGTACATCCCGGTGTTTCTAGCGAGTCATAAAGCAAGGTATTTACCGGCAATCCCTGGTACATAGCTTCCTGGTAGGTAGAATAAAACTCCACAGGGGCGATACATTTGGAGAAGTATGCCATCATGGCGCTACCTACTAACATTACTTTAGCTGTGAAAAAGAACTTTAGATCAGCATGCCCATCATCGAGTCTTTACATCAGTTGCCTGGTTTGCAAGCCCTGGCTATGATGCTCTGTCTAACCGCCTCACAAACCGGCAATCCCTTGACTACCACATCAGGTAGGTGGGAGCTGGGATGGCAGGACAGACCTAAACTGACTCAGTAGGAGTCACTGGCATCCTTATCTGGCCACAGCCAACTGCCACTCCCCATCACCTGTGTACATGTACACAGCGGACAATGCACACACAAAACTCTCAAGTGGATAGAAAGTTTATTAGTATGCACTGGCATGGGCACAGCCATCATGGTCGGCGAGGAGGCATAACATGCCTGAACATTTCACTGAAGAAAATATTTTATATGAACATGGAAGTTATTCGTTCCTCCAAGACAACGGAGATGCGATCCGCATGCATCAACGCAATGTGGCACGCACACAGACAGACAAACAGACACAGCACACACAGACACACACATGCACACACACACATACAAACAGACACAAACACACAAACACAGCCGAAGACACACAAACACGAACACACACACACACACACGCACACGCACTCAAAACACTAGCATTCAAATCGTATCTGGTCAGCATGGTTGGATATTGGTATGTTGATGTGCTACATTCTACTCTTCACCACCCTCCGTGACTTTGGCCTCACCACCCTCCGTGACTTTGGCCTCACCACCCTCGGTGATTTTGGCCTCACCACCCTCGGTGACTTTGGCCTCACCATCCTCGGTGACTTTGGCCTCACCACCCTCGGTGACTTTGGCCTCACCACCCTTGGTGACTTTGGCCTCACCACCCTCGGTGACTTTGGCCAACGAGAAGTGCCTAACGTTCAGGGATTGGAATGTCGCAAGTGCTATTGTCATCAGATGCTCATCATCCACATGATCACACGATCTCAAGTCCAGAAGTTGTAAGTTACGACCGTACACTGTTGAGCGACGTACGTAGTACTGCAGTACACCAAACATGCACAAAACCAACAATACCGGTACAAACACACACATACATACATACACACACACAAACACACACACACACACACACACAAACACACACAAACACACATACATACACACACACACACACACACACACACACACATACAGACTCAGACATGCCCATCGCGGAAGCAATGATAGCGAACAGCCATGTTAGACACAGCAACTTGTGCTGGGATTACACCATTCAACAGCTTGCAAGGCTGATGAATTGACTGCCACTAATTTTAGCCTGGTATCCACCACATAGCTGTTTGAAGTGGCTTTTTCTGGCCAGTGAATCCCCCCCCCCCCCCACACACACACATACACACACACACACACATATATATACACACACACACATATATATACACACACACACACACACACACACACAAACACACACACACACAGACACACACATGCACACACAGACAGACAGACAGACAGACAGACACACACACACACACACACACACACACACAAAGACACACACACACCTGTCCTGTCCTGTTCTGTAGAGTCACTGCCGCAAAAGGGTCACGTGATCCCATCACTGGGAAGCCTGAGAGGAGAGAGAGAGAGGACACGACGCTCGATGACGCTCCAGGTGCACGGGTAGTCTCATCCGCTTGCCGCATATGCACACGTGCTGGAAGGCTGAGCGCTCCTCTGCTGTTGGTCTATGCGCCACCCTTGAACAGCGATGCCTGCCCCGTCCCCGGACACTGCGAAAGCAGCGACCACACCTGTCACAATGCGCGGCACAACATCCCTCCGCCGGTGCCAACGTTCCGGTAGCTCCAGGTGGCACTGTGGCATCCACCGTTGAGGCACACACATGCCGGACCAAGCCACCGCGGCTTCTCAGCCACCGCCCACACCGCCCACACTGACTGGCACCCCGCTGCTCAGACACAGGCCGCGCACGCTCCTCCAGACACTTATGCCGAGCCATGTCTCCTTTCCGTGCAAAATCCCGTCCGCATACCGTACATACCACTCGGGGCGGAGGCTAAGGCGCATTGTCAGGCTCTTGGTAGGTGCTGCGTCACTCCGAGCGGGACTCACATGCAACATCATACCATGATGCCTCCACGCCACGGGCACGTAGATCCCGGACAGCACAGTCCTACCATCTGCGGCGTGGGCCATGTGCTGGGCGACGCTGCAAGAAGGAGCCAAACAGTACCTGTTTCGAGATGCGGTTGTCCGGCATCCGCGCCACATGCCCCAACCACTCCAACCGCCGATGTGCAATCTTGTCTTTAATCGTCTCGGAGTCTCCCCAGCGCACCAGCAGCTCTTCGTTGGTGATGTGTTCGTCCCACATCCAGCTTCGAGAGACCCCGGGGATGGATCGGATGCACCTCATGCTGAAGGTTGAGAGCTTCTGCAAGTCATGTTGAAGGGGCGTCCAGCACTCAGAGCCATACAACAGCAGGGACAGAACGCAAGCATTGAATACGCACCGCTTGGTGTGCATCAACAGATGTGGATTGGAGAATACAGACCTCCGAAGAGCACCGCAGGCCCTGGAGGCTTGGGCAATCCTTGCGGTGATGTCCCGGGACGAACGGCAACCGCTGTCCACTACAGACCCGAGGTATTTGAAATGCGGTACGCATTCCACCTCCGCTAGACCAAGTTGGAGGGGAGCGCGGTCAGTAGGCGTGATGTCGGGGCCAACAACTACAAACTGAGTCTTCGTTGCACTGATGGTCAAGCCGAATCCCGACGCCACCTCGTGAATACAGCACAATGCTGCGCCCGCTCCAGACCGAGTCGTAGCGAATAGACAAGAGTCGCTAGCAAACTGGGAATCTGTTAGGCAATGGTGTTGGTCGTCACGGCGGGGTTTACGGTAAAGATCGCTGCTGTATGCTGAGCGGAGCTCGAAGCCAACCCCGTCAACTCTCCTGACGCGGTGTTGCCACTGGGTCATCACGGCCCACATAAAGATATTAAAAAGGACCGGCGCCATAGAGCACCCCTGGCGAAGACCATTGCCAATGCTGAACGGGATTATGTTGTTGAACTGCACCGACGCTGACATGGGGTCGTGGAACGACCGGATGATGTTGATAAGCTTTTCTGGTACTCCCGCACGGCCGAGGACCTGCCACAGACACCCCCTGGGCACTGAATCATAGGCCTTCTTCAGGTCGATAAACACAAAATATCCCTCACACACACACATGGATAGAAAAAATACAAGCAACAACACACACACCAGTACATCTCCATAGACACACATACACACCAGTACATCTTCATAGACACATGCACACCGACACACAGAAACACACCCACGTAACCGCACCTTTCATACAAGCTAGGGCAGGTGCCTTAAGGGATGGATGGAGATGGGGTGCAGGTGGGTGGCTGGCTAGCTCTCTTCAAAAAAATTGCATTCTGCCTAATATGTTATGGGCTCTCTCCCCCTACTCCCCTCTTCTCTCTCTTCTCTTTTCTCCCTCTTGTCTCTCTTTTGATTGACGAGTGTCTTCTTCAGGATGGTGATTATCATTATTAATTATCAGTCCGAAGAAAAAGGCACTTGTAGGAAGGCATCAATCAGTCTAGTCTCCTGTTGGTCTTCATATCCTCCGTTCTCTGTCTGGCAGGCTGGCTGCCAGACAGACAGCCTGGCTGTTTGTCTGTCTGATTGTCTGTCTGACTGTGCCTCTGTCTGTCTGTCTCCGGTCTGTCTGTCTGTCTCTCTCCCTGACTCTCTCTCTCTTTCTCTCTCTGTCTCTCTGTATCACTCTCTCTGTTTACCTCTCTGTCTCTCTCTCTGTCTCTCTCTCTCTGTCTCTCTCTGTCTCTCTCTGTCTCTCTCTCTCTCTCTCTCTCCCTGGCTCTCCCTCCTTCCCTGACTCTCCCTCTCTCTCCCGGACTCTCCCTCTCCCGGCTGAGGCTCTCCCTGATCGTCTCCCTGACGCTCCCTCTCTCTCCCTGACTCTCTCCCTGACTCTCCCTCTCTCTCCCTGACTCTCTCCCTGACTCTCCCTCTCTCTCTCCCTCTCTCTCCCTGACTCTCTGACTCTCTCCCTGACTCTGTCTCTGTCTCTCTGACTTTCCATGACTCTCCTTGACTCTCCCCCTCTGACTCTCTCCCTCTGACTCTCTCCCTCTGACTCTCTTCCTGTCTGTCTCTCTGTCCAGGGACGTCGGAAGGTAATTTTGTGTGGTACAGCCATCTGGAGTACAATTTACTCGTGGGAAAAGGTGGCTGAGCCGAAAATTTGGAAAATTAGAGCCCACATCAGTGCATGATTCACGGCATACTTGGGTCAAATAGTGGTACCGTCATTACCGTAGTGACCGTGCTGTGTGCGATGCCCCTGCTGTCTCTCTGTCTTTCTGACTCTCTGGCTCTCTGACTCTCTGACTCTCTGTCTCTCTCGCTCTTCTCTCTCTGACTCTCTCTCTCTCAGTCTCTCACTCTCACTCACTCTCTCTCTCTCTCTCTCTCTCTCTCTCTCTCTCTCTCCTTTCTCTCTCTTCTCTCTCTCTTCTCCCACAATACTTGACAAGAGATGAGGTTGACATTGTTCTCAGTTCTTTCTAGAAGGATCCTTACCTGTTGGTTGTGTTTGACCAGTGCCATCATTTCAGAGTCCAGTACCGCTTCATCTTCAACACTGTCTGAAGTCTTGCATACGACCGCCAATGGCAAGAACGGATCGGATGTGAGCTGCTTTACACCTTTCACCTCCAGGATGCGTAGCATGGGACACAGGAGTAGTAATGATCGCACTGCAGCATTGCCGATATTGGTGTGCCAACTTAGATTCACTTTCTCCAGGAGTGGGCAAGACTGAGCCACACATTCCGCAACATGCTCATTAAGCAGGAGTGGGGAACCATTGGGCAGTGACAGTTCGGTAAGCCTTGGAGGACAGCTATCCAGAAGGCTGTCAATGACTTCAGGTCCAATGTGATTATCTTTCAGCTGAAGAACTGTCAGGGATCTGCAGTGCCTCAAGATGAGACAAAGCACATTGTCTGAGATATTGCGTGTATTCACTAGCTGCAGTGTTTCCAGCTGCAGAAGAGACAAGACGTATGCAATAAGCAATGGGCGCGTTCGATTACACACATTTCGGTCGATTCCAGAATTAGTTAATGTTGATACACAGTTCGATTACACAAACTCCGTCGTTAGAATTGATGGTATTTGTTTCAGTCAACTCGTCAATCAGTTCACACCAGCCAACACGGTTCAATCCAGCAATGGGATTAATCAATACATGCAATAAGAATAAATACAAGGAAAACGGTTCTGGATAATAAATTAGGACACTATGGATCTGGCCGCCATTCTCGGGCTCTCTCTCTCTCGATCTCCTCGACCTTGCGCCAGGATCCGTCAATATGTACAATCACTACAAGTATCACGTGCGACCTACGTCGCTGGTAGACTGCATGGTACTACCCAGCGCTAGGGATAGGGCATGCCAAGTATGTGGCGAATGCGTACAGAAGGAACACAGTGCAGGTGGGTCTAGGATGCTTCAAGCATATCAGCAGATTACTGAAAGCGCATCAATGACAGAGACCAAACATACATTACAACAAGAGTCATGCAACTATCAGCCATAGTTCAGTGGGACTACCACATTTCCTCCCTTCTTAGAAAAGACCAGCGGTCTACTGATAACGACTTGGCTTTCGAGTCGTACGCTGCAGACGGCCAGCAGCTGGCGGAACAGTACTAGGTGTTGCGGCCGTTGGACTGCCGGGAGCTGATGGAACTGTGGAATCTAGCGGAGTAGCTGTTGCTACTACCTCCGTCGGATCCACTTGCAGACGGTCAAGATGACGGCGGAAAGTCACTCCCTCTTCGGTCGTAATGACTGCATCATGTGGTGTTGCTGTGACGATGGTAGCTTTGTCAGTTGAGCCAGAGGGTTGCTTGACAAACACTGCTTGTCCAGGCACCAAGGTGCGGGATTTTGCTTGGTGAGCTGCGTCGAAAGTCACCTTGGATGCTGCCTTGTGCTGAGCATCGCATTCACGCACTTCCTCGTCTATCTCTTCGTCATCGTCGGCAGTAGCCATGTTATCTACTGGCTGAAGCTGCCTGAGTGGAGTACGATAACCTCCTCGTAGTAGGAGATCTCCCGGCGGTTTGCCGGTAGTGGTGTTGATAGCTGATCGAACAGCTTTGAGCGCCACACAAAGAGCGTCGTCTGCTCGTGGCATGCCGGATTTCCGCATATGTTGCTTCAAGGTCCGATGGAGACGCTCAACAGGGTTCTGACGTGGTGTGTAAGGCACAGTGCGTTCGTGGCTGATGCCCCACGATTCAAGCTGGTTACGGAACTCGTCGCTGCAGAACTGTGCACCGTTGTCGGAGATGACGTGCCGTGGCATGCCGAACAGCGTGAAGATCTGTTCCAGCGCCTTGATGATGTCCCTGGTCACTCAGCTGGTAAGCGGACAACTGCTGGATACCGACTGTACAAGTCCAGAAGGCTGAAGAAGGCGCTTTGCTGGTAATAAAACACATCAATAGCGACTATGTGCCAGGCATGTGGAGGTAGGTCGCGTGGTTTCAGCGGTACTGGGCGTATAGCTGCTTCTGTCGCACATGGTGTACAGCTGGCTAGGAAATGTCGAGTTGCCGTGTTCCAACCGGGCCACCACACAGTCTCCTTGAGTTGAGCCAGTGTCCTGTCTCGACCAAGGTGTCCCTCGTGAGCCAGGTTCAGTACGTGTTGAGCTGCCAATGCTGGAATCACCACTCTTTCCCCTCTCAGAATGAGAAAGTCCGACGAGTTCGGAAAGGGCCACACGCTGAGTTCCGGACTAAGGGCTTGGTACGGTGCGAGCTCTGTCGCCGACGGCCATTTACCCGATCGCAGCGCATCTCGCACTGAGCACAGAGTGGAGTCACGCGCTGTTTCTCTGGCAATCAACTGGCGATGTGCTGAAACACCGTCTGCCACGGTGACAGCATGGACAAGAAGGAAACTCGGGTCAGCATCCTCAGCCGGCAGCCTGGACAATGCGTCAGCAATGTGATTCAACTTACCGGGGCGATATTGCACGGTTAAGGTCAAGTCTTGCATTTTCAACACCAGGCGCTGTACTCGGAGACTAGCTGAGGCCAGCTTGTACGACGGCATAAATACGTGAACCAGTGGCTTGTGGTCAGTGATAATGGTCACAGGCATGCCGGTGATGAAGCTGCGGAAACGATTAGAGCACCACGCGACCGCCAGTCCCTCTCGCTCGATGGTTGCATAGCGTGACTCTGCATCTGACAACTTTCTGCCTGCGTAATAGACAGGTCGCCACTCTTGACCATCTGTTTGCGACTGCTGTAGGAGTACTGCTCCAAGGCCATGGCCAGACGCGTCAACTTCGATGCTGGTCGGCAGCGTTGGGTCAAATAGCGCCAGAATAGGTGCACTAGTAATCAGACTGCGTATCTTCTCAGCTGCGGTGTGGCAAGCCGCTGTCCAATTCCACTCGCCAGACAATAGTGCTGTCATCGGAGCGACAACCGAGGCAATGTTAGGAATAAACTTTGCCACGTAGGTTGCTAAGCCCAGAAATGCTCGGAGTTCGGCCACATTGGTGGGATCCGACATCTGACTGAGTGACTCAACCTTCGATGGACCTGGCGAAATGCCCTTCGCCGAGACGTGATGTCCCAGAAACTCCAGCTCTGAGACCTGGAAGACGCACTTCTTGTCATTCAGGGTGACATTGTACTCCTTGAGAGCCGTCAGGACTGCTGCCTTGCGTCGATCATGCTCTTCCAATGATGGAGCATAAATCAGAATGTCGTCTAGGTAGATGACTACCCCTTCACATCCTGCCAGAATTTGCTCCATCTTACGTTGAAATAATTCAGGGCCGCTGGACACGCCGAACGGTAGACGACAGAAACGGAAGTACCCCAAGGGTGAGGCGACCACGAAGGCATGACGACATTCAGGTGAGATCTCGAGCTGAGAATACCCGGACTTCAGGTCAAGCTTCGAGAACATCTGTGCGCCCGACAGTCGAGATAGAAGCTCATCAGCTGTTGGGAGTTGCACACCCGGTCGCCTTACCGCTGCGTTGACTTGTCGTAAATCTACGCACCAGCGCATGGTTTTGTCGGGTTTCGGTGTGGCTACCAGTGGCGAAACAAAGTCCCGAGCCGTTACTTCCTCCACCATCTCGACCACTCCTTGTTCTAGCCATGCATCTAGTTGTTGGCGTAGCGAGGTGAGCAGTGCCGGTGTTACCCGTCGAGATGACTGTTGAGACGGAGGGTGATCCGGATCGAGAGCGATTGTAATCGGGTCGCGCATAGCAGGGAGTGACGCTAGGCCCTCGGCACAGGCTGGGATTTCAACTGCTGAAATCGGCAATGCCAGAAGACCTAAACGGATGGAGGCCTGCTCTCCCAGTAATGCTGGCACAGTGCATTGTGCGTCATCGACTTCAAAGATAGTCTCAGTCGTTTCGCGGCCCTGATAGCTCAGGTTACCCTCAAACACGCCCACAGCTGTTATGCGTTGCGTCCGCACTGGCTGGAGTGGGCATGGCGGCGGTAACAGGACGTACCCCGATGGGAGTAATGACTTAGTGATGATGGAAACCATGCTGGCAGAGTCCACTCTTAGCGACAAGGTGTGTCGGCAGTCCAATGTTACCTGCCTCAGAGGTAGAGTGAAACCGGTCTTCCCTGCCTGTACCCCGAATGTTTCATAGGCCTCTGGTGGCTGGGCGGACTGTACGGCTGGTGATGCTGCACCAGTTCGGAGTGACGAAACGGCTGGTGCTGATCGGTTGTGTTGCCTGGATGACGTGCTCTGTGACTGGGTCTGGGCACTGCGGTCCACTCGACCAGATCCGGCACGGCACACCGATGCAAAATGTCCCTTACGCCCACACTGGGCACAGAACATACGCGCTGCTGGGCAGTTCGGCTTGCCTGGAGCGTGCGTCTCTCCACAATATCCACAGCCTGATGCTGGCAATGGTGCATGTCCAGGTTGACGCGTAGCTGCATAGCTGACCTCTGGCACTGGTGCTTCTTTGGCACCCTCTTCACCCTATACCACTGCCTGCGCCTTGGCTGCGGCGGAGCTCAAGTCCTGCGCATCGTGCTCCAAGACACTCTTTCGGGCACTGGCAGAGCTGAGCCCCCGTGCAAACAGGTGGACTCCCACAACTCCCAGTAGTTCCTCGGCAGTACGAGTGCTGGTCAGGTTGCAAACCCTCATGTCTTTTTGCACCCGCAGCCGAAAGGCCTGTACAGTCTCCCCAGGACGTTGCTCGACTGCAAACAATTCCGCCAAACGGGACGCTGCGCTCTGTTTCGAGCCGAAATATTCTTGGAACAATTTGATAAGATCGTTGTAGGGATTAGTTGCAGTAGTTGGCACTGTCGGGTAGCTCTGCCATAAGTAGTGACTTGCTGGCTCGCCTAAATTGGCAGCTGCTGCCAAATACTGCTTCGACTGATCCTTCACTTCGTGGAGTGCAAAGCCAATCTCCAACTGACTACGCCAAGTAAGGAAATGATCGTTTCCCAGCTCATGGTCCAGGTCAAGGCGGACGCCGACTTTTACTTTTTCTGCCATTCTTTTTTACTCTCTTTCTCACTCCTGTGTGCAGCCACACCATACGTGCTCCCACCCCTAACACACCTCAGTCACATGCACACCCACATACACACGCACACAGCAACAACAAACAGCCTCTGCGGGGACAGCAGCAACAGCAAGAAGAACATGGTTGAACAAGCGGTCACGTGCTCCTGCGTACGCCAGTCACCTGGTCACCGTGCCTGCTGGGTACAACTTACTAGCCTGTTTGACCTTTTTTGGGTGCAGTCCTGTCACTCGAGTTGAACCTTGGTGTGAAAGTTGTCGCCTGCTGGCGTGGTGACCAGGTGATTTGGGCACCCAGGAGCACGTGACCGCTTCTTCAACCATGTTCGATTGGGAATAAAGGAGGAACGCTGCATCGCAGCCTTTTCGGACCAAAACCAGTCGACTCAGCGTCCAAAAGACTACAACATATGGGCCAATCGCGGTC